CTGTATATGCTAGGCTCGTCAAGTATGACCTGAGTATTCCGCATGTGCAACTGTTTTGCACCCGTTGTATTTGAACGTAGAGCCTATCACACCCGATCATCACGTGGTGTCTCAGCACGAAGAACTTTCGCAACGGTGCATACTCAGGGAGAACACTTCTTGATTATTAGTGAGAGATCATCTTAAAATGCTACCGTTAATCAAAGCAAGATAAGATGCATAAAGGATAAACATCACATGCAATCAATATAAGTGATATGATATGGCCATCATCATCTTGTGCTTGTGATCTCCATCTTCGAAGCACCGTCGTGATCACCATCGTCACCGGCGCGACACCTTGATCTCCATCGTAGCATCATTGTCGTTACGCCATCTATTGCTTCTACGACTATCGCTACCGCTTAGAGATAGCAATTACAGGGCGTTTGCATTTCATACAATAAAGCGACAACCATATGGCTCCTGCCAGTTGCCGATAACTTCGGTTACAAAACATGATCATCTCATACAATAAAATATAGCATCATGTCTTGACCATATCACATCACAACATGCCCTGCAAAAACAAGTTAGACGTCCTCTACTTTGTTGTTGCAAATTTTACGTGGCTGCTACGGGCTTTAGCAAGAACCGTTCTTACCTACGCATAAAAACCACAACGATAGTTCGTCAAGTTGGTGCTGTTTTAACCTTCGCAAGGACCGGACGTAGCCACACTCGATTCAGCTAAAGTGAGAGAGACAGACACCCGCCAGCCACCTTTAAGCACGAGTGCTCGCAACGGTGAAACCAGTCTCGCGTAAGCGTACGCGTAATGTCGGTCCGGGCCGCTTCATCTCACAATACCGCCGAACCAAAGTATGACATGCTGGTAAGCAGTATGACTTGTATCGCCCACAACTCACTTGTGTTCTACTCGTGCATATAACATCAACGCATAAAACCTGGCTCGGATGCCACTGTTGGGGAACGTAGTAATTTCAAAAAAATTCCTACGTACACGCAAGATCATGGTGATGGCATAGCAACGAGAGGAGAGAGTGTTGTCCATGTACCCTCGTAGACCGTAAGCGGAAGCGTTATGACAACGCGGTTGATGTAGTCGTACGTCTTCACGATCCGACCGATCCAAGTACCGAACGTACGGCACCTCCGAGTTCAGCACACGTTCAGCTCGATGACGATCCCCGGGCTCCGATCCAGCAAAGCTTCGGGGATGAGTTCCGTCAGCACGACGGCATGGTGACGATGATTATGCTTTACCGGTGCAGGGCTTCGCCTAAACACCGCGACGATATTACCAAGGTGGAATATGGTGGAGGGGGGCACCGCACACGGCTAAGGAACGATCCGTAGATCAACTTGTGTGTCTATGGGTGCCCCCCCGCCCCCGTATATAAAGGAGCAAGGGGGAGGCCGGCCGGCCCTTGGGGCGCGCCAAGGAGGGGGAAGTCCTCCTCCTAGTGGGAGTAGGACTCCCCTTTCCTAGTCCAACTAGGAAGGAGGAAGGGGGAAGGAAAGAGAGGGAGAGGGAGAGGGAAAGAGGGGCCGCGCCCCCCTCCCCTAGTCCAATTCGGACTCCCCATGGGAGGGGGCATGCCACCTCCTGGGTTGCTGCCCTCTCTCCCCCCTCAGGCCCACTAAGGCCCAATACTTCCCCGGGGGGTTCCGGTAACCCCTCCGGCACTCCGGTTTTCTCCGAAATCATCCGGAACACTTCCGGTGTCCGAATATAGTCGTCCAATATATCAATCTTTATGTCTCGACCATTTCGAGACTCCTCGTCATGTCCGTGATCACATCCGGGACTCCGAACAAACTTCGGTACATCAAAACTTATAAACTCATAATAAAACTGTCATCGAAACGTTAAGCGTGCGAACCCTACGGGTTCGAGAACTATGTAGACATGACCTAGAACTATTCTCGGTCAATAACCAATAGCGGAACCTGGATGCCCATATTGGTTCCTACATATTCTACGAAGATCTTTATCGGTCAAACCGCATAACAACATACATTGTTCCCTTTGTCATCGGTATGTTACTTGCCCGAGATTTGATCGTCGGTATCCAATACCTAGTTCAGTCTCGTTACCGGCAAGTCTCTTTACTCGTTCCGTAATGCATCATCCCGTAACCAACTCATTTGGTCACATTGCTTGCAAGGCTTATAATGATGTGCATTACCGAGAGGGCTCAGAGATACCTCTCCGACAATCGAAGTGACAAAACCTAATCTCAAAATACGCCAACTCAACATGTACCTTCGGAGACACCTGTAGTACTCCTTTATAATCACCCAGTTACGTTGTGACGTTTGGTAGTACCCAAAGTGTTCCTCCGGTAAACGGGAGTTGCATAATTCTCATAGTTACAGGAACATGTATAAGTCATGAAGAAAGCAATAGCAATATACTAAATGATCAAGTGCTAGGCTAACGGAATGGGTCATGTCAATCACATCATTCTCCTAATGATGTGATCCCGTTAATCAAATGACAACACATGTCTATGATTAGGAAACATAACCATCTTTGATTAATGAGCTAGTCAAGTAGAGGCATACTAGTGACTATATGTTTGTCTATGTATTCACACATGTATCATGTTTCCGGTTAATACAATTCTAGCATGAATAATAAACATTTATCATGAAATAAGGAAATAAATAATAACTTTATTATTGCCTCTAGGGCATATTTCCTTCACAGAAGACATTGCGTCTGGAGAGGTAAAGAGTCAGAGGCGAAGAACCCACCACTGGCAGCTTGGGATCTGATATGTAGGCCCAAGGATAAAGGTGGCCTAGGTACTTTAAATCTTTCCACTCAAAACACTTGTCCGTTGCTAAAAACGGTGCACAAATTCATCAATCATGATAACATTCCTTGGGTGAATCTTGCCTGGGAGGCTTATTATCAAAATGGCACACATAGTTAGTACCAATTTGCATAGTAGCTCTTTCTGGTGGAGAGATTATCTCAAACTACTGCCAATTTATAAAGATCATGCAACTTGCATTCTTCGGAATGGGACCTCGATGGAGTTTTGGACGAAAAAATGGAGGGATATACCTCTCATGTAGCAATGGCCACACTTATATACGTTTACCGGACATCAACGGATCTTTGTGTCCAGCATGTGGTATTTGGAGGACCTATCAGATCATTTTCATCTCCCTTTATCGGATGATGCATATCTTCAATTTCAGGATGTGGAAGAATTTCTACAGAACTTGATCATCACAGATGAGTCTGACATTTGGCAAATGCCATTTAGCTCCTTACTCTATAAAGTTTCTCAGGTCTATAAACAACTGACCAACTTCCCCACAACAATGCCTGACATAAAATGGACTTGGGCAACATGTTGTCAACTCAAGCACAAAAAGTTCTTCTAGTTATTAATCAACAACAGGTTGAACTCTAGAGCCATGTTACTAAGGAAAGGCTTCTTTATCCAGTATTACAATTGTGTCATGTGCAATTCGGCTGCTTTGGAAACAAGAGATCACCTCTTTTTCCACTGCCTTTTTGCTCAACACTGTTGGACTTACATATATCCTACCTGGACACCTAATTTCATGGGCATTCAAGAGGAATTACGTGCTCTTAAGCAGCTCCTTCAAGTGCCTTTTGCTTTGGAAATAATCATCCTGGTATCATGGGCCATGTGGACAACGAGGAATAACTACATTTTCAAATCAATGCCTCCAAGCCTGTACACTTGTAGGAGAAAGCTAAAGGAAGAACTTAAATGGGTTGTTTACACGGCCAAAAGGGAGGACTATGCAGGGTTTGCAGACCGGATCAAGGCATTCAGATAATAACCTTGGGTTTGGTTAATTGCTGTTGTATTTTTCTCTGCTTTATTTTCCTTTTGCTGTACAGTTCTTTTCCTTAGGCTGGTTTGAGTTTTGTATAGCTTTCTTTTTCTTTTTGGACCCGTTTGGGACCTCATTCTTTGTTCTATTTATTTTGAAAATCAATAAAAATACGCAGCAAAGTCTTCCCTAAAAGGAAAATGTCGACGTGCCTACCTTGTCAGCATATGGTGACTTTCGCTATAAGGTCTTTCGTACGGGCCCTGCTAATTTTCATCTTGAGTACTAACAACGACATACCCTCTACTCTTTTGTTGTTTCCACTGCAATAACAGTTCTGATCATTACGAACCAAGCCATGGTTGGTAGCTAAGATGCGTCGTTCTATCCCAACGGGAGATCAAACCCTTCGTCCGACATTCTGTTTGTCTCGTTTTAGCGGACTTTTAAGCGAATTACTTCAATGGTAGGTGACATTAATTCCCGTCAACAGCATGACACATCTTGAAACTCCACGGCAGTATGTCGTTTCGTGGTGGAGTGTGTGTGTATGCATCATAATTGTAAGATATATAGTGGGCTGTCATCGACAAGGTCAAGCCGGCTCCGGTAGGGGGGAGACGACAGCGGTGCGTCGACGGCTCGTCTCAGGGGCGTACTCAAGTTGAGCTCCCTGGGTGCACATGACACCGAGTGCAAGATGTTTTCTTTGTAAGTTTCATATAAAATATAGTGTGTGATACCCCATATTTAAATGAAAAATATGAGTGATCATATGCTAGGACACCTGGTCATTTTCTCTCTAGGTCACACTGCTCGTTCTCGCGGCGGCAATGGTCGTTCAGTGGTTCATGGACCTCGATGCAATTTTTATTATGTTTGAGGTGCTTTCTACTTTCTTTGAATTTTTATAATAGAGTTGACCTTTTTCGCAAATTTTTTTAGTGTTTCGCATGGTTAAAAAAGAGAAAGATATATAGTGTTTCTCCAAATGAAAATTTGACCGTTGCTGGAGAAACTTCAGTCATCTGATACAACCGACTTCCATCTAAAGTCAATACACACAAGCAGGCCTTTTACACGTAGTTGAGTCTTGAGTGCGTTAGTTAGTCTTAGAATCCACCAGTATGCTGTACATGCAGATCAACTGATTTTGTAATATGTACTGTAGATCAGTGAAGCCTCTTGAGCCTGACCTGCGCGCCGTGCTCAGGCTGCAGCAGGCCAACGGTGAAGGGCGCGTGTGTGTAGGACGGCGAGAGGTCGAAGGAGAAGCGCTGCAGGATCATGGCGAGCCCCATTTTAGCCTCGAGCAGCGCGAAGCTCTGGCCGACACAGATCCGCGGGCCCCAGCCGAACGGGAAGAAGGCCGGCGCGTCGACGGACGCCTTGGCGACCCCCTCGGAGAACCTCTCCGGCCTGAACTCATGGGCGTCCGCGCCCCAAACCTCCTTGTCGTGGTGGACGCTCAACAACGGCAGCATAAGCACCACGCCCGCCGGGTACCTGACGCCGCCGAGCTCCGTCGGCTTGTATGTCCTGCGCTGGAGCGCCGTCAGTGGCGTGTATAGCCGCAGCACCTCGTAGAGCACCATGGTCACAATTCTCATGCGACTTAACCCGTCGTAATCCGGCGTGCGGTCGCCGAAGACATGCAGGACCTCCTCCCTGGCACGGTCCTGCCACTCCGGGTGCATGCAGAGGACGATCATCGTCCATGTGAGCAGCACCGACGTGGTCTCCATGCCGGCGAAGTAGAATAGCTTGCACTCTCCGATTACGTCGTCGGTTGTGATGCCGGCCTTGGAATTGCCGCCCGCCCTGGTGTGTGCCATGTTGGACTCCAGCAGCAGCCCGAGAAGATCGTCGCTCGTGGCTTGGCCGGCCCTCAAGGCGTTCTCCCTTTTCGCGATGATGCCCTTGAGGATCCTCTCGATCTCGGCAGCGATCTGTCTCATCCTTCGGTTGGCTTTTGTTGGGAAGAACCTGGACATACACCAATGTATCAGGACAGAGTCTGCAGCGCAGTGCCGTAGGAGAAACTCAAATTTGCACCATTGATCGATGTAGGTGTAAAAGGAGACTAATCAGAGACAGAGAACTCACAGATAACCAGGGATATGTATCTTGTTCATGGCGAGCACGGCGAGCTCGATCTGCTCCCCCTGAAGCTGGAAAATCCTCCGGCCCTCGAGGTAGCTGCTGCCGAAGGCGGCGCGAGAGATGACATCCCCTGTCAGGTTCTGCATGTCGGGCCACACATCTACCTCGCATGCCGCATCACCTGCGGCTAGGCCTTCCCACCTGTGCACCAGGTCCGTGCAACATGCAGCGAAAGCTGGCAGCATGCGCTGAAAATTGGACACCAATTTTGTCACTCCCTGGAGCCAAACCTATGCCAGTCTGCCATGTCAATCACCGAACAAAAATAAATAAGTAAATCACCTTGAGCTTCTCGAGATGGAAGGCAGGGTTGATGATCCTCCTGTGCTTGGCCCATTTCTCGCCCTCGTGGCTACCAATGCCATTGTGCAACATCCTCTGAAGTCGGCCCAACTTGAGCTTCTCAAAGTCGCCGGACTTGTTGGACAGTACTTCTCGCACCAGTGCGGGCTTGGTAATGGTCACTCTAGGTGATGGTCCAAACCAAGTGATAGACATTTTACCTGAAATGAAATGATTTTAGACAATCACGAGGTAGCTTGTATCGGCAGTTCTTTTTTTCTTCTTCTACATTTTCATTTTCAGTTAGCCCATTTACCTAAGTGGGGTACGGTTTGTCTAGTTTGCTAGAACATCATTAGATTTCGTGGATAGAAAAATGAAGCCCGATGCACCCACTAAAATAAGAAGGGTGGGATCTAGAGTCTAGTCATGATCACATTAGTGTGGGTACCTTTCGAACTGGACTATTGAGTTGGTGTTTTCCTCTTTGGAATGATGATGTCTACTAGCTAGCGTACGCAGTAGGAATATGGCCTTGGATGCAATCATGCAGCATGGGATTTTCTTGTTGATACTCTATTTTACAAATGTTCCTATAGCTAAGATACCTTGAGTGTCTGTAAATCTGGTTGCTCTAATCTGCTACGAAACTACAATTAATGAAGTTGAATTGAACTTCAAAATAGCATGAGAAAAAGCCGCGCAAAAGGAAATTAGCATGAGAAAAATAGCCAATAGCGGTGTATACAAAGAAAAAATAACTCCGGTAGTCAACCAAAAAAATAAATGATGAAAACTGAAAACTGAATCTGCTCTTGGAAACATGTTCCCGGACGACCGTGTGACGAGAGCAACGAAGTTTCCAAGGCAAACCAATGCAGCCGACTCCAAGGTCAAGGGACAGACCAGTACGAAGAAAACAAGAGAAGTACTAGGAGACGTACCGTGCTCCTTCATGGTCTGGTGGAACAGCGGCATGGCACGGGGCACGACGTCGTGGCAGCCCAGCGGCATGGACCGGGACCTCGCCTCCTCGTCGAGCCTCTCGGCCAGCGGCGCGTCACCGGCCACGGAGCGGTACGGCGTGCCGCGGAGGCCCTGCGACCGCAGCGCGCGGTCCAGGCGCCGGGGCCTCCACCACGCCCACTCCAGCGCCCGCACGGCGCACCAGGCGATGGCCGCGCCCGCGACCACGTACAGCAGCTCCCGTGGAAAAGAAGCCGGCGATCCCATCACGCTCGTCGCCGCGGAACAGGCCGGAGCAGGCAGCACAAGGGGAATGGGGTTGATTGATGCTTTGCTCTCTTGCGGTGATCAAGTGGGTGGGGGCGTAGGATACGATCGAGTGGTGTGGTGATCACCTCCCATTCCACCGCTATATATAAAAGATGGTGGAGGCCTTTTTTTGCACCGCATGCTTTTGTGCCATTATAGTGCACATTTTTGGCGCCCAGCCCCAGGGCTGTTTCCTTGATGGTTCTACAGTCCGGGGAAGTGGTCTTTTCTTTTAATCCCTGTGAAATGAGAAGATCCGTGTGGGAAAAAAAGGGAGCAAAGTTGGACGAAAAAAAGCGAGCGTAGGGACGCGGCACGGCACCAACCTGGTCTACAATTAGGTGGCTGGCTGGCTGGCTGCATGGGCCGCTCGTCGCCTCAATCTGTCTGGGTTTGCACTCGATCGACAGCGTGTTTCTTTCGGAAAGAGCTGACTATCTGCTTTCTCCTTCCCATTTGAAGCAGCTAGCGTCTTCGTACACACAGGTCATAAAGGTGCAGCATCGCACGTAGAGTGGTCATGCCGTGCACCGAAAGCGCCTGCACAAGCTCTCCCTGGCTGGCTTTTAAAAACCAGATAGCGCCCCAAAACTCCGGTTGGAAACCAAAAAAGGCAAGGAAAATATGTCTGGACGACATACCGCTGCAAATTAGAAATTACATGTGTAACGCATGGCCAGGGACATGCATGACCATATACCTAATCCTAACCCTATCGTGCGCTTTGTGGAATTCGTCCGTCTTTTTGGTGCACATTTGCATGACGGCACCTCTTGCGTTTGCTGGCATGGGAGCACGCGCTGGGGCGGGACGGGACGACCGGAGCACAAAAGGCCGGCCATGTCATCTCTAATAGCTAGTCTTCCGTTTACGCTGATCGATCGTCGTACGTACGTACGTGTTTGCTCATCTAGGAAAGATCAAGTGAATGCAGATCTGTGCATGGGACGACCGGACTGCGTGTTAATAGACGACGATTAGTCTTTGGGAGACATGTGTTGGTAGAAGAACACGTGCCATGGCGCTCTAGTCCAACGCCACGTACCTGCATGGCCCGGTTCCAGCGTTGAATTACGTTTGCGACTTGCAAAATAAGTTGAGACAACTTCGGTTACGGTTGGTGTTTTCCTTATCTGGAACTCATATTCCACGAGCGGTCACGTTGAACGCCAAACATGCGTCTTCAGTGTTCCCAGCTTGCGGTCAACTGCGTGAACTTTTGATTTTGACATCCCAACAATTTTGACATGTCAAGCATCATATGGCGGTGGACAAAGTCAAGCATCATACTAAATGTCAAGCATCATACTACATGTCAAAATTGTTTTTTAATATGATGCTTGACTTTGTCCACCGCCATACTTCATCCCACAATAGTCTCTTCTTCTCTTCCAGCTCCACAATGGTCACATCGGAACATCTAGCTACCAACGCGCCATGGTTTTTCCACCTGGAAACCGCCCACGAATCCAGGAACCTCTCCCCGAGCGAGCATGATCTCAAGACGGGACTTAAGAGAAGGATGATTAGCTACCAATGGTCGTTTCTCATCGAGATGCTGAGGAAATTGGGCTTTGGTGAAAGGTGGCTGTCATGGATTTGTGGACGACTTGGGAGTACTTCCACGAGGATATTGGTCAACGGAGTGCCATGGAGAACTATTTTCAACTGCAAAGGGCTACGCCAAGGTGATCCGCTATCACCAATTCTATTCATAGTGATTATGGAGCCTCTGCAAAAGATGTTCGAGCTTGCTACAACATGAGGTCTCCTTTCTCCCCTAGCAAGAAGGGGAATGAAGCTCAGGGTGTCTATGTTTGCAGACGATGTAATGATTTTCATTAAGCCACGGGATATTGAGCCGAGAACTTGCTCAAGAATTTTTGGAGCTTTTTGGAGAAGCTTTAGGACTAAGTTAACTTATTAAAGAGCGCGGCCATGCCCATCCGATGCTCGATAGATGACATGGTGGCGGTTAGTGAAATCCTGGGATGCGAATTTGGGGCTGTGGCGCGATGTTTTTCATGCGAATTGGAAGGAGGCGATGTAGTTCGAATGAGTGGTTGTGGTGCGACACATTTTAGCGTGTAAATAGCTCAGGGCCACATGGGGTGTTAAATGGGGTTAAATTGGTCATCAACCAAGCCCGTTTATGTTAGGAGATGTGGGTCCAACTTAATTGGTCCTCAATCCCGAGCCCTGCCACCCCCGTCCGCCCCCACTGCCACTCTGCCCCCCACCCCCATCCCACTTCTTCTCTGGCGGCGGCGGAGCCCTCGTTCTCACCGGGCGCCCGTTCCCTTCGTCCTCAGAAAATGGTGAGTGAATTCGAACCTTAGTCCCGTTCCTCTCTCAGACCCGTAGATCTCAGCTCGTTTCCTCTGTTTTTGCTTGTTGAATCGATAGGTTGTGAGGGGAGCCCGTGGGCATACTGAGATGGAGCCGCAAGATTCAACTTCGAATAGGTAATGCGCCTCTCTCTGATCCAATTTCGTCTACTCTTTCTCATGGGCTCACATTGTCCGCCACTGATAGAGGGGATGCTGCCGCTCGGACGTTCGAATTGACGGTCAATTTGTTTCCATCAAAGGCAAAATTAGTTGATGGTAGAATACAGAACATTGAGAGAGACAGAATTGTTAAATGAGAGGTTGAGTTTACAGAGATTGATCCACAAGTTCTACAGAACATGGGAGAGAAGGCAGTGAAGAAATGGGTGGAAAAAATTGGGGAGAATATTGTTTGGGGTCCAGAGCAAGAAGTATCACTGTTGCGGTTTGATGATTGGAAAGAAGAGTATGTGAGAATAGAATATGGTGAACAGATTGTTGAAGAAATCGATCAGCAAAATGGCTGGACAAGCAAACGGGCTAATTTTTTTTGCTGAGCTCGTTGATCTGAATATTTTTTTGAAGGTTGGATATGTGTCATCACACTTGGCTGCGCAGATGCTAGATGATGATTGGTCTTCACAGAGGCCATTGATTCCCATGTGTACTGAACTTACAGTAATAGCCGAAGAGGGACAGGTGACTGGAACTGAAACTGCAGCTACTATTGATTGGAATGTAGTTGAATTAGATGAGCCTACTGATTTTGTCATTGCACCAATGAGATGGCCAAACTTTTTGGCATTCCAGTCGATAACAAAGATAAGCAGGAGAGGGGCGAATCTAGTTTGCCTGCTAATGCTGATGAAGATGTAGATGGACAGTTGATGGAACAAGCTGCAGATGAAGTAGATGATGCACATGATGATGAGCTGGTGCATGTGTATGATAAAGAAAACCCTGTCATTGAAGTAGGCAAGTTGTTCCCAAGCATGAAGGAGTTTAGGATGTGTTTCAAGACTTATGCAGTGAAACATGAGTTTGATGCCAAGACTGTTTGGACTGATAGAAAGAAGTTTTATGCAAGGTGTAGAGGATTTGATGGTAGTGTCAAGCCTTGCAAGTGGTACATATCTGCTAGACTGCAACCTGATGGAAGTACTGTCAGGGTTAACCAAATCCCCAATCAACATACTTGTATTACAAGTTCACAGAGAGTATCAACCATGACATCACAACTTTGGGTTGCAGAAAAGATCACCCTAATTTTAGCCAAAACACCAAACACTACTGCCAAGAAACTTAAAGTAGACTTGAAAAAGATGTACCCCATTAAACAGAAATATACCACAGTGTGGAAAGCAAAACAAAGGGCAATGAAAAATTCATATGGTGATTGGGCAAATACATTTAGGATGCTTTACAACTTCAAAGCAGAGGTGGAAAAGAGGTCATCTGGCAGTGTTGTGGAGATAGATACTGAGGTATCAGCCGAAGGTGAAGTCAAGTTCTCCAAGTTTTTTATGGCTTTGAAGCCTTGCATCGATGGCTTCAAAGCAGGGTGCCGTCCATATTTGAGCATAGACTCATCATTTTTGACAGGCAAGTGGAATGGTCAGTTGGCAGCATGCAATGCTCTAGATGGACACAACTAGATGTTTCCTATTGCTGTTGGCTTGTTTCAGTCAGAAACAGAGGCTTCATAGACATGGTTCATGATCCAGCTGAAAAGATGCATAGGGCCAGTGTCACCTTTGGCTATACACACAGATGCATGTAAGGGGCTGGAAAATTCAGTGAAAAATGTTTTCCCATATGCTGAGTAGAGGGAGTGATTCGGTCATTTGTGGATGAATTTGATCAAAAAATGTAGAGGAGAAGAATTTGGGCGCATGTGGCCAGCAGCAAGATCTTATACTAGGCGGACACACAAATACCATGTTTATAAGATAATGGCAGCATGCGATGAGTTTGGTCCATGGCTGAACACCTACCATTCTTTGTTATGGTACATGTCAGGATTCAACACTGCCATCAAGTGTGACCACATCAACAACAATTTGGTAGAGAGTTTCAACAACAAGGTGAAGAAGTTAAAAGATTTGCCTGTGCATGACATGGTTGACCAAATCAGGATCATGCTCATGTGGTTGTGGGAATTGAGAAGAAGGATAGGTGATTGTCTGCAAGGTGATAAGCTTCCAGTACTGGTACAATAGGTGGTCAATAGGAGCAGAAGTGTTTCACATTTGTTTGTTGAAAAATCTTCACCTTGGGGTGCTGAAGTTAGAGATAACAAAACTGGAAGGAGACATGTTGTTAACACTGAATTGCATGATTGCACTTGCCTCGAGTGGCAACACACTGGTAAGCCATGTGAGCATGCCATTCTTTTCTTAGCATCCCAAC